CTTAATAAATACATTATAACTAGTTGAAAAAGTAATAAGTAAGATAAGTCGAGGAACTACAGCACCTGTTATTTAGAGGTAGTTCTCATATGCTACCTGCTAACAGGCTCAGAATTTATTACTCACTGTTGTAATGGAAGCACTTGTTGTTTAGAAGTAGTTCTCATATGCTACTTGCCGACAAGCTTAGAGTTTATCACTCACTCTTTAACATTCTTTAAGTATCTGCCTTTTGCTCGGTCAACAAGTCCCTGATATACTTTGCAAGAAAAGTATACACACTTTTTTGGTTTGGAACTAGTGGTTTTTTTCATCTCTACCACCTCTTGCTGACCTTATCAAAATTTTTGACAAAAAGTGGGCAATCCAGCTTACCTCTTTCAAAAGATTGGCATTGTTTACACTTTCCATTTTTAGACAGACAAAGTAGGACATAAACACAGGATTGTTTGACAATGATGTATCTATACTATATAATGAACCAATCAGCGCTCTGGTTAACGAACTAACCCAGACTGGACAGTAAAGTTGGAAGAGACCTAACAATAAGGTAAAGCTTTACAATAGAGATATACAAGATTTTAAATTTAGTATATAAATTTTACAACTATGCCTGGCATGGGTTATAAATAGATTGTTTTTTTTCTGCCTTTTTTTTCTTGTTTCATTTTTTCTTTTTGTTCATTTTCTTGTTGCTTAGACAATTTTTTTCTTTCTCCCTTTCATGTTGTTCTCTTTATCTTTAGTATTAGTGTTTTTTTTTTATAAGTCAGTTGGAGACTATGAATCCTTTTGCTTATAAAGCTAGAGGAAGAAGGTTTAAAAAAGATAGCAGTTTTGATAGGCCATAAATACTATTCGGTGATATATTGAAGAATTTATTTGTAGAGTTTTTTGATATGAAGATAAACTTTACTATAGCAGATCAAACATGGGTGATTTGGGCACTTTGGTGTTACAATAAGCCAGATTAGCCAAGACTTGTAACTTAGATGGTGCTTTAGTTTACTTTAGCAAAAATGATATTTTACCTGTGAGTTAAATATTTTAGCCTAATAAAGTTAAAACAAGATTGCTAAATTATAAAAAAAAAAAAATATACCAGATTATTATACTTGGAAATAAATAAATACTTTATTTTAATCTATCTCAACTTCAATTATAAATTCTTTCAGATAATTCATATTAGAAATTAAATAAATGCTTTATTTATATTACTATTAGTTCCAACTTATATCTTCAGATTTGACTAAAGAACTTATTTCTTCTTTTAAAATTTAAATATAGTAGTAAAGGTTCAAGTATTAAATCTTTTTTAATACTATATATATCACAAACTTAAATTTACTTTCTAAGCCTTTATTTTTTTTTAGTAAAATACTATGAAGTGTTTTTTAAAATTTATTATGAGTTGCAAAGACAAAAAATTTGTTTGCATTTTTTACAAATTTTTATTTAAAAAATTTTCTTTATTACAGTATTATTTTATATAAAATATAAAAACAAGTAGAGTATTATAATGCACTTAAGAGTTGCTTATATAAAAATTTCCAGAAAAAATATATTTATTCATGAAATTTATTGAAAAAATTACTTATTGAGTTAATCATCTGCCAATAAAAAAAAATTGACTTAAAAAAAAGTTTGAAATATGAACTTTCAAAGTTTACTCAAAAAAATATCTATGTTTTTTATATTTGGGGTATCATAGTGCATAGTGCTACTCACTTCACTGACAATAATTTCACCGAAAGTTTACTTAGCCGACATCATATAAGGTTAGAATTAGCATTTTATTAGTTGGAAGTATATATTATTAGTAAATTGTTACTTGGTGTAATGTTGGCTAAATGAGCTGTTGGTGAAATGATTGTCAGTGAAGTAAGGCAGATCCCATAATGCACTGTGATCACTATTTATTTCATATTGTATATATTATATACTGCATTCTTCCTCCAGACATTATCCAAATAAGAAAATATATAATAAAAATATAGAATTGGAACAACTATAAATGAGAATAAAACATTCTGATAGTACAAGAATTTTGTGATTAAAAGAAACTTAATACTGCATAAGTAATGTTAACTTTTACTTATATCTTGTGGTTTAGCAATTAAAAAATTATATCATTTTAGTAAAATGAATTGAACAGTACTAAAATTTTTAATTTTGATTTATGTACTGCAATATATTATTAAAAAATACAAATGTGTCAAAATTACACATCTGTGTCATAATATCAACTTCCCTTACAACTTCAATAGACAATATATATAAAATATGTATTATAAAAAAAGTTTTTAATAAACAATTTATACAAAAGTTCAATTATATAAGAAAAAGATATAAAACAAATAAATAAAAAACCTTTAAGATACTTCATTTTGAAGATTACAGTTCATTCTTGTTATAACATGGTGATCGGGCTGAAAAATTTTGTTTATTATAATGAATATCCACTATAGCATTATATAGTATAATAATAAAAATTTTAAATTGTTTCAGAGAATTCCTCTGTTATAACAAGGTATCCACTATAACAAGAGTAGGGTGAACTGTATATTATCTACTTGTCCCAACTACTATGTAGAGATGTATCTCATTGGCTGGAAAGATTTAATCCAACTCTTATGCTGGTACTTGTCATGGTTCAGTTCCTAGTGTCACACTTGAATCAACTTCTCTAAACTGATCCAAGGAACATGGTACTATAGTATGAAGACTATATCCACTAACTAATTAATAATTAATATAGCAACTAAACTATACTTATCAGAGAGTACAAAAGCTTGTTTGAAAAAGGCAACAACTCTGAGTATATGAGGATACCAAGGTTGTATAATTTATTTATTAAACTTCTTTTGTGAAGTTTGTATTCTTCCCTTCACAGGTCACATAAATATGTTAACAATACAAATGGGTTTATTTATAGAGTATCCATGTATAAAAACACAAATTAGTATATTTATTAGATAAAATTTAAGAGGAAGAATCTAAAAGAAGCGAGAATTCAACTAAGAATTAGGAAGGGTTGAAGTCTAAAGGTAAAGTAAGGTGAACTTGAAGGCCTTATATACATGATTCGAAGACCATAATATTTCAATTCTATATCTGATTAAATTTGCCAGAAGCAAGTAACATCAAAGAATAAAATTTCTATAAAATTTTGTCAACTATAAATTTATGACTTGCAAGTAGCAAGTCATAAATTTGTATAATAAAATTTTAAAGAAATTTTATTCTTTGATGTTACTTGCTTCTGGCGAATTTAAAACATTTACTATAAGCAGCCAATGAAATTTCAAGGATCGACATCCAATCAAATGGACGTTACGTTAATATATAGTAATATTTACAGAGATCACAACAGAAAACCGGTTGACATGTGATATCGATATATTCTCGACCAATTCACTAAAAAGATATCTTCAAAATTCTAATAATTCGCGAACAAATAAATATGCTCGCTAAAGAATCTGTCGAAAAATCATTTACGCATAATGCTTCGTCTGATCTATCGAATCGTCATTTACTTATACTTTATGGTAGCCAGACAGGTTGCGCCCAAGACATTGCAGAAAGAATTTATAGACAAGCACGAAGGCGTCATTTCAAAACTAGAGTTTATCCAATGGATGATTATGAGAGGGTATACAATAACTATCTACCATTAATTCGGTTAATATAATCAGTATATATAATATTTTATTTGCCACTTTAGGAAAATTTGATAAATGAACGTCTGGTCATTTTTATATGCTCAACAACAGGTCAAGGTGACGAGCCGAGCAATATGAGAGTATGTCCATGATTGCTTTGATAAAAATGTTAATATTATTCAGTCAGTTAGATATGTATTTATTTTGTGCGCAGAAATTTTGGAAATATTTATTGAGGAAAAACCTTCCAAATGATATTTTAAATCAAATGAATTTCGCCGTTTTTGGTCTTGGTGATTCTTCATACGTAAGGTAATGTTTAATGAGAAAAAAATTGATTTGCTTCTATTACATAAGAGTTCATGCAGATAATGTAATTACAATCTTTCTTTATCATAAAGGTATAATTGGCCTGCCAAAAAGCTTTTTAAGCGTCTTTTGCAATTGGGTGCTCAGAGTATACTTCCACGAGGAGATGGGGATGATCAACATTATCTTGGGTTAGTTATAATACGAAATCATACAAATTGATAAATTCTATGCTATTGATGCATTTATTTTTCTTTATGTCATATGTGCGAATGATAAAATGATATTTTTAGCATAGATGGAACCCTTGATCCATGGTTAAAAAACTTGTGGGAAATTATAATGGAAAATTATCCATTGACGCCGAATCTAGAAGCTTTGTCTGATGATATCTTATTATATCCTTTAGTATCAATTAAAATGTTATTTAAATCTACAAGTTTATATACACATCTTGTTCTTAATTATCATTATTTATTCTACGCCAGCAAGATTTCGCATTGAATTTGTTAATCAAAAATTTGATGAAAACAAGGAAAAAACTAGTAATGGTGAAATCTACGTGCGTTTAGTTAAGAATGAACGTGTAACAGCGCATGATCATTTTCAAGATGTTCGTCATATAGAATTAGACGTCGATGGTGCTGAATTTAAGTGAGTTTTTATCTGTGTAAAAATATTTCAATAGATATTTTTTCTTAATTTTGGTCTACATTTAGGTATGTTCCTGGTGATGTTGCAGTCATCCGTCCAAAAAATTTGTCCGAAGAAGTGAATGAAGTTATCAAAATGATGGATTTATCTAATATTGCAGATGACGCTTTTGTTCTTATACCAAATGATGAAGGTTATTTAATAAAACTTTTATATTATAATACGCTTTTAGCTTAAATTTTTGAAAAAAATTTTTTTTTATTACATACTAGATCATAAAATCCCTACTCACTGGAATTTTCCTTTAACGCTGAGAAAATTGTTTGAAGATTATCTGGATATTTTTAGCACACCTCGCCGATCATTCTTTGAATTTTTAAAGTTTTTCGTTACAAACGAAGACCATATAGAAAAATTAAAAGAGTTTTGTTCTGCAGAGGGTCAAGTAAGATATATTATTTACATTACAATATGTACTTATGTCATGACTAAGTTTTTATTATTTATATGAAGGATGACTTATACGCGTATAATCAACGTGTTCGGCGTACGATTTCTGAAGTTCTTCAAGATTTTTCTTCTGCTGAAATTCCTTTAGAATATATAATTGATATGTTTCCAGAAATACAGCCTCGACAATTTTCAATATCTTCTTCTTTAAAAGCTCATCCAGGACAGATTCATTTAACTGTTGCTATAGTAAAATATAAAACTAAATTGCAAAAACCAAGAGAAGGGGTTTGCACCAAATGGCTATCTGGGTTGGTTCCAGGTCAGTTTCGCAATTTTTGAATCTGTGCCCGGTTTGTTGAATACCTAATTAAACATACGGCTTTATTTGCGTCGATCCTTTTAAGATTTGAAAATTTTTATAATTTCTATCGATGATTTCTTATCGCGTTTTTCGAAATGAGTGAAAATGGGAAAAAAATTTTTTTTTGAGTATACCCGTATACTGTATACCGGATTACCTTAGTACCTTGATTGAAGATCGATGCTTGGTTTACTTATTGTTTCAAACATTAAGTACGTATGTATGTAATCAAACATCGATCTTAAATCAACGTGCTAAGGTAATCCGGTATGAGTATACGCAGTATACAGGTATACTATACAAATTTTTTTTTATACTCATTTCTACCATTTCGAAAACCGCGATAATAAATACTTGATCAAATTCGGTAAATTTTTGTTTATTTTAATTCTTTACACTTGGAGAATTAAATAAAAAAGTTTTATTGAATTTGGTTTAACGGTTGTCGAGAAATCTTCGATAAAAGTTTAAAAAAAATTCTCGAGTATCAGGAAAAAAGCTAAATTTATCTTTTTTAAACTTTGAAGATATCCAAATTCGATGAAGTTTTTTATTTATTTATTTTAATTCTATGAATCTATAGATTATCTATAAAATAAAAATTGCGGCAAATTTCTTTTCTTAACTTTACAGCTCATAAATCCTGGGACAATGACAAAAATTGCCCGATGATCATTTGGCCGAATTCAATAAGTTTTTGAATTTGGTGTTATCGACATTGCTGTAATGTCGAAATCAAATGCCGATAACACTGAATTCAAAAACTTATCGAATTCGGCCTAAACAATTTATATCAGTTGTCCAGAATTTATGAGAACAGCTGTAATGAATATTTCTCGATAACTATACATACAAATTTGGTAAAATTTTTTATTTGATTCTATAGACTCATAGGATTAAAAAATCCATCGAATTTGGATAGATAGATGTCAAGAAATCTTTGATCAAAGTTTAAAAGAGAAAAATTCACCCGATTTTAGTATTTTCCTAGATATTCAAGGATTTTTTGAACTTTTACTGACATCTATTAACCAAATTCAATAAACTTTTTTTATTTTAATTCTATAACTATAGACATATAGAATTATAGAATTAAAATAAAAAAAAAACCTTATCGAATTTGATCAAGTAATTACTAAAAATTTTCAAATCTTAAAGGATCAACACAAATAAAGGTATGATCTGATTGGTTATGTTTAAGTAGACGTTCAACAAACCGGGCACAGATTCAAAAATTGCGTCAGTTTCATCATGAAAGGTTATATTCATACACATTCAAAAAATTAAAGTTCATATATAAATAGATGAATGTTTTATTCCAATCTCCATTTCGAGAGGAACGATGGGATTGCCAGCTTCAACTTCTACCCCAATTATTCTTATTGGACCAGGTAAAGAAAAAAAAAGTCAAATATTCCTTAAGTTTATTGATACATATCGGAATGGATCTAAATTAAGGTCCCTGGATTTAACAATTACAGAATACATAATAGCTGAAATTTTGGGGTCAGTTTTACAATCGCATTGTTAAAATATATGGACCTTAATATAGGCCAATTCCGCAAATTCGCCGATATGAGCTAATTACAATATTGTGAATTTAGGAACTGGAGTTTCAGTTATGCGCGCTTTCTTGGAGGAACGCATATATGAGGGGGCGACAGGTATATCCTTAAAAATACATTTATTTAAAATATCAAGACAATTATATTAATTATACGTTCTTTTAGAAAATTATTTGTTTTTTGGATGCAGATATCAGGATAAAGATTACTATTATAAAGATCAGTGGAAACAATACGTTGATGAAGGACAATTAAGAGTGTTTGTAGCCTTCTCCAGAGATCAGGTATTATTAAAAATATATGTGAGATACTGAATTAACTATGAGTAATGTTAATCTAAACATCGAATATTAAGGATAAAAAAGTGTATGTACAAGATATTCTAAAAGAAAATGCACAATTGGTATGGGATATTGTACATGAAAGAGAGGGATATATATATATATCAGGGTAATTAAGAGCTCTGTAATTAAAGTTATTCAAATTTCTATACGATTTTAATCTTTGATTCTTAAATTAGGAAGTCTGATAATATGCCCACAGATGTTATGGATGCTTTTAAATATATTTTTATATCTGAAGGTGGAATGAGTGAAGTGGATGCAGGAAAATATATTAAAACACTAGAAATGTCAAGAAGATATCAACAGGAAGTTTGGTGATTTCAATTACAAATAATGATTTTATTACTTTTTTGATTTTTTTAATTTGGTTATTTATAAGTATAAAATAATTTATATGCAATTAGAATTATTCTAATTGCATGTTTTGTTAATGCATATTCTATAAATATATATTTTATATAAATGCACTTTATGTTTTAATTAGGGTCAAATGTCATGTCCGGCATATTGGCACCAGACCAGAGCACTAGTGCCTTCATGCCTGTGCCTATAGGCACAAAGGTGCTAGGCACTGTTAAAGGCACAGGCGCTTTGTGCCAGGCACAAAATACTAGGCACAAAGTGCCGGCATGCACAAAGTACCATAGGGATGGATGTTAATAGTTGATCCAGTCCAATTTGATTTTATAAATCAGATTAAAACTAAACCAGATAAAAAAAAACCTAAGTCAAATTAGAACTAAATAAATTAAATATAAAAAATTGAACTAAACTAGAATTAAATATAAAAAATTGAATTAAACTAAAACCAATATAAAAATAACCAAATTGAATTAAAATTGGACTTGTTTAAACTATTTGATTTTTATATACCCTTGCATATTTTATGCACCCCTTGCATTATTATGCACAAATATGCATTGTTATGTACAATTATGCACAATTATGCAAGGGTGCATAAAAATAAAAACTAAATAAAATAGTTTAAACAAGTCCAATTTTATATTAATCTAATTTATACCAATCTAATTTTATATCAATTCAATTATGATTATTAGTTTTATATTAATTCAATTTATAATAATTCAATCTTATAATAATTTAATTCTATAGTAACTCAATCTTATAATAGTTTAGTTTTATAGTTATTTAGTTTTAACCTGTAGTTTAATAGTCTATTAACATCCCTAAAGTACCAGGCGCAAAATGTCAAGCACTACCAAAAAATTTAATATTTATATTAGGGATCTGCAGGCCCAGCATATGCCCGTGCCTAATAAAAGGTGCACAAATATAGGCATAGGCACGGGCACAATTATTTGGTATCTGGTCTAAAAGTCGGGCACTTTTAAGCAAGCATGGGCGTAAGTATGGCATAGGTACAGACACGGGCATAAACATAATTGCTTAGAATATAGTAGGGCTCTGCAGGAATTACGGCACAATTTCTAGAAAGTTATTTACTTGCCAACTTAACACCAAACACTGTGATGCCAACATTCTACAGTACATTTTTTCGATAAAAAATATATTCGACATTACATGTTTTTTACAATCCTCTTTCTTAGACAAGTAAGTCATTTCTCTTAACATATAATTTTAATCAACGCTAACTCTAAATCAGGCCAACTCTAATGTTAAATTGAACCAATGTTATGTCAAGGGAATGGTTGTTGAGGAAATGTCTTGTCTAAGAAAAGAATTACCAAAAACATTTAATGTCAAATATATGTCTTATTGAAAGAATGTGCTGTAGATAAATAGCATGCTGGCATTATGGTGTTAGGAAATACTTAAAGTTTTATTTTTTGTTTTTGAACTATATAAATTTGTATCTGCTTTACAATATAGAAAATTAAAAACTCATGTTTTATATAAATTATACTATGATCTCTATGTAACAACAAATTTTAACTTCCCTGTAAATATTTTGATAAATGTGACAATCATTAACATTTGGTAACTATAGTATTTTTTGATGAATTAAATATATTATATACAAAGAAATATAATTAAGATTTGTGATACGTAGCATAATTATGTATAGTTAAAAACACAGTATTTCTTTTTTTTTCAAATAAACTTACCAAGCAAAATTGTTAAATATACTATCATTTACTTAATCTCAAATCTTAATAAAATTCAAATGACTTTTTTCTAATAGCTTTTTTTGTTATACATTTTGGCACAGTAAATTAATTTTTTGTGTTAGAACATATAATGAAAAAACTTATTAATAAAAGGTTATTCGAATTGCACCAAAATTTGAGAGTAAGTAAAAAATAGTAAGTAAAGTCAGGTTTACTTTTTAAAAAAAACCTGTTTCCTTGAAATATGTTCAATTCGTCAAAATACCCACATTCGTCATAATACTCTCACTTATCTTATATATCTTTAGGGTTCTTACCCGGTTGAATGACCGTACGGGTTACCCGACCCGACGAGTCACGGGTCAAATTTTGGTCTACCCGGGTCAAACGGGCCAGAACCCAATCTATATCAGAACTTTATGGAATTTATGCCAGCCATCTTTCGATACACTTATCCACCAATCACAATCTACCTATGTGATTTTATCCTTTTTTTGCTTAATTATGCGATGAAAAAAGCAGGTAAATTATGCGTGTATTATGCTTTCGCATAATCCTGAACACCCTAATCAGAATATTGGCGGGTTCCGACCCGGGTCAGTTACTTAGTTTCTCCGGTTTTTCTGATGTGGTAAATGAAAGAACCTAAATCACGAGCAAGGTGGAGAAATTTTTCTGAGATGAAATCCGAAAAGTTACGAAAGTTATTGGCCTTGGCATATATAACTTATTGAAACCCGGGTCTGAAGGTTCAACCCGGGTCGCTATTTTTCGATCCGGGTAAGATCCCTACATATCTTCAAAAAATCAAATATAACCAAATATTTATACCCATATAGTGATTTACAGTTGTTCTCATAAATTTGGGACAAACTAAAAATTTGTTGTTTTCCAAAATTTATTCAGGTTCGTCCTAAAGGTCACCTAACTCTTCGGAATCACGTCGTCTTCAGAACTTCAGCCCGGAGATAGCGATGTATTTTCCGGAGTTAGATGATTCATAGGATGAAACAGAAGAGATTTCGGGAAACGAGCAAATTTTTAGTTTGTCCAGAATTTATGAGAACAGCTGTAAGCCAGCTTGGCAGCCGATTAGCTGGCTAATGTGGTTAAAGATCATAAATGAACATAAAATACAAGCAAGGATGAGCTAAATTTTGGAGATTTTCCAGAAATATAGTATTTGTTAGCTGTTAGCCAGCCGATTAGCCGGTATTTTCGTCGGCTGGCTTAGCCAGCCGTAAAATTGCAAGATCAGGTTTAACACTATATGATCATCACCACTTAGCGAAAGAAGACAGAATCACATGATATTATTTATCATAGTTCATAGTAACAACAAAGTGTCTTTCACTTCGCTCCGGACAAATATATATATACAGTATAATTAAAAGCAAAGATTGATTAAACCAGAGTCAAACATATCCTGAGATTGGAAGTCACATTGATGAATTTACATGTGTAACATGTGTTCTTGATGTTTGAGAGATGATTGATAATTTCTTATTATTTTATCACTAAGTATTACTTTTCAAGTGTCCTAAAGCTAATCATCAACTCTAAATATCGCATAAAGCAGAAAACAGATTCGATTTCACACAAAGTTTACCATATAACCATGAATAACTAGGAAACGGGAACCGTTGGGGTCCAGGTTGTCTGTTGAACTTGTCAAACTGAGGCCTATAAAAAGATATAATTTGATAAATAAGAAGTTAAATCGCCAATAAGCGAGGCTGTGATTATATGATATTTTAATTTTTAGACAAAATATGTCAAAACAATTGCATAATAAACTGTGGAATCATATAACTTAGCTCTCGATCGGTGGCAATGTCAGAATCATCAATTCAAATTAGTTTGATTAAAAAATGATGACGTGGAAAATTAATGTTTTTACGTTTTTACTGTAATGACTGCTAAGCAGTTTTAATCCTATTGATTTAGTAACAGTATTTTAGGTATTATCACTTATTGTCCGAAGGACACTTTGTTTTTACCACAGTACCGGACAGTAAACTCTTTATTAGTAGAAACTTTAAATTGTTATAACTTTTTTAAAACAAGATAAATCAAAAAACCCTCTAAGCTAAATTATACCAAAATTAACCAATCAAAATCGATTATGTAAACATCAAAAATTTGACTAAACAATATCACGTGATAACGCATGTTCGCTTCCGTGATTGGTTGAAATACGATAACAGACAAGCTTCAATTTTTACGCGTAGATCTGTTAAACATTGTAAATACAAGTCACTCTTTGAACTGTGAATAGACTCTCGATATAATGAAGAAAATCTCAGCCTGATCATTTCACTATAACGAGAGTGACTTGTATATTATTAATTTATTGTTGAAAAAAAATTAAAAATGAATCAATCAATTTTTTAGGGTTTCGATTATGCATAAGGTAAGGAAAAGCTGGCAGAATTTTGATCTAGTTCTGTAGTTGTTAGAAAGGCATCAGGCTCATTTTTCAAGTATAGTATGCAAATTTGAATTTTTCCTCCTGCATAAGGTCTACTGATTCTGAAAAAAGAGTCAGTTACGGTCTATTTCTATTTAATATACTGCTTTTTTTTCTCAACACGTGGCTTGTGCTGCAAGGGGGTTCTTGGTCTCTTACACCTAAATGAGATACGAGTGTGGGTTCCTCAAGGGCAGTGTTGTACATGGACGATGTCCCGTGAAAATTTCAGGGACGCGGACAGTCCCGGACGATGTCCCATGTCCCGGACAATGTCCCACGTC